GTCGAAAGGGGAATGTCTRGTTAAAAGGTTTGGAAGCGTAAGTGTGATGTGTGTGAAAGTGAATGAATGGTTGACTTCGCAAGGATTGTGTAATGTGATTGACTCTTGTCTGCAGGTCAGTGAGACGACCAAYCACGTGCTATTCACTCAACTCGCATTTGCTTATGCTTACCTGAGYCTCGACTYAGACATTTCGTCGACTCGTAACCTTTGTACATTTGGTTTGGGTTTYCGACTTTACCCCTTTGATGTTGATAGATTAGGACAATTGGCAAAGGYCGAGAGCCTTATTCATATCATTCTTCTTTGACAGGCCATGAACCTACTTTTATCTGTGATGTTTGTTGAAAGGCCAAGAGCCTATTGAGTGTTTCTCTTTCAAAAGTCAAAGCTTCGTTCATTCTGATGTTTGCCCCTGTTTGTGTAAAATGTGAAAGACATCTCCTCGCCTAATTACTCAGCCTTATCTCACTTCACATGTATGTATGCTATGGTTAAATGGTTTTCATAGAGAGATACGTTGATTGGACTTAATCACTAGGTAGGATGGGTATGTCTCTTATGAGCAACCCCTGATAGTTTAAGTATCGAGAGGAGTTCTGCTTGAACATAGGATAAGCTATGAGTCATACCTATGGAGACTATTTATATGCAAAACATAGTATGAGCGAACGTACGTCAGTCGAGTCGACCTGATTAGTAAGTCGGTCCGGGAGATCAGCGCCCCGATGCCCAATGTATATACGGGTCAGTCTTAGGCGTTCAACCGTGCGTATGCCTATGCTACGACGATCGAGCAAACGCCCTCGGTTGACCTACCTCTGCGATTGCATGTAAAAACCTTCGCACGTGGGTCAGTAGCTCAACAGGGATACGCCCACCTAAGGGATGGTGACAGCTCCCGCGGGTGGAGGTATGTTGTACCTCGCGGGATCCCTAACCTGTCGTAGGGAGTCGTGAGAGGTATAGCACGCGCGCACGGTCGAAGTTGGTCTTTTCGCTGAAACTCCTATAAAACTCCTGCGTGACACGACCGTGAGGTTCAACACCAAAAACTACTTTACGTCTGGGTGTGGGACCGCCGCGCGCAACAGCGTGCAATCAAGCTTAGTGTGTACACATGGCGATGAGGAGGCAAGGCGAGATGGTGAGCAGATGTCTGTGGAAGTACGAAGGAGGCGTCAAGTCAATGGATGCTCTTGCAGACAATCTTGGCAAGGCGCTCTATATATTCGTTAGCAGGGGTGGTGGGCGAGACAGACACGACAGGACCCTGTAGTGTAGATTTTCTTCGGCCGACAATGTTATCCACTAGGCCCTCGTAGTCCACCCTCGCATGTGCACCGATCTACAGACCCCCCTTCTCGCATGATCTACCATCGTCGACCTTCAAAGTCCTTCCTCGTTGTCGAAGGCCAACGAACAACTGACACCC